CCCCCCTCCCTTCCCACCTCCCCGCTCCGTGTTTTCCCGTCTCCCACCTTCTCCTGGAGCCTCTCCAGCATGGCCGCCAGGTGGGCCTCGCGGTTCTCCTTGTTGGATTCCATCTTCTGCGCCAGCCGCTCCTTGGCCGTCTTGATGAAGTTGTTGTTCTCCTCGATGGCCTTCTGGATCACCTCCCGCTCGTGCTCCCGCTTCTCCGCCAGGTGCTTCCGCAGCTCCGCCTCCTGGTACTGCTCCGGGAAAACAGGGAGACGTCAGGGGAACGGCCGGGATCGCATCGGAATCGGGGATGTGACGGAAAGGGCGGGGGGCAGTCAAGAGGGGTTGGAGGGGTTGGGGAGGTTGGGAAGGGTGGGATGGTTGGGAAGGTTGGGAATGTTGGGAAGGTTGGGGTGGTTGAGGAGGTTGGGATGGTTGAGGTGGTTGGGATGGTTGAGGTGGTTGGGATGGTTGAGGTGGTTGGGAAGGTTGAGGTGGTTGGGAAGGTTGGGGTTGTTGGGAAGGTTGGGAATTTGGGGATGGTTGGGAAGGTGGGGAAGGTTGGGAAGGCTGGGAAGGTTGGGAATTTGGGGAAGGCTGGGGATCATTGGGATTGTTGGGAAGTTTAGGAAGGTTGAGGTGGTTGGGAATGTTGGGGTGGTTGGAAAGGTGGGAAGGTTGGGGAGACTGGAAAGGTTGGGGTGGTTGGGAAGGTTGGGGAGGTTGGGGAGGTTGGGGTGGTTGGGGAGGTTGGGGTGGTTGGGGAGGTTGGGGAGGTCAGGAAGGTTGGGAAGGTTGAGAATTTGGGGAGGTTGGGAAGGTTGGGGTGGTTGGGAAGGCTGGGATGGTTGGGAAGGCTGGAATGGTTGGGAAGGTTGGGAAGCTTGGGAATATTGGGAAAGTTGGGGAGGTTGGGAAGGTTGGGAATTTGGGGAGGTTGGGAAGGTTGGGAAGGTTGGGAAGGTTGAGAATTTGGGGAGGTTGGGAAGGTTGGGGTGGTTGGGAAGGCTGGGATGGTTGGGAAGGCTGGAATGGTTGGGAAGGCTGGAATGGTTGGGAATATTGGGAAGGTTGGGAAGGTTGGGAAGGTTGGGGAGGTTGGGAGGGGTTGGGAAGGTTGGGAATTTGGGGAACGTTGGGAAGGTTGGAAGGGGTTGGGAAGGTTGGGAATTTGGGGAGGTTGGGAAGGTCGAGAATTTGAGGAAGGTTGGGAAGGCGGGGAAGGTTGGGGTGGTTGGGAATTTGGGGAAGTTTGGCGAGGTTGGGGCCATCGGGAACTTGGAGAACTTCGCCAAGGCCGGGTGTCGGAACTTCCCGGTGCCCCCCCCACCTTCCGGCGCTCCTCGGCCGCCTCCAGCTTCTTCTGGATCTCCTCCAGGGACGGATCCCGGCGGCGCGGCAGCGACGCGTTGAACTCGGGGACGCCGTCGAACGAGGGCGGCTTCAGGATCACCTCGAAGGACTGGCCCGACGTGCGCTTGCTCAGCTCGATCACCTCCATGTCCGACAGCACCGACCACGCCAGCTCCACCGTGTCTGCCGGGAATGCGGGAATGTCGGCCGGGAACGACCGGGAAACGGCCCGGAACGCCGGGAATGGGAGCTGAGCTCCTTTCCGGCTCCACGTCCCGCCCGGGTTAT